GGACTGAGTTAAGCAGAAAGGAACCAACCCACATTTTGGAAAAAATTGAGTTATGAGTGGTATTGAACTCAACCACTGCTCTACTATCTATCGCCAAAAATTCAAAGTTTTTGTTGGAGCAAATTTTGCAGAAATTGAACTTGAAGTTTATCTTTTACATTGAGTTTTATGCAAGAGCCAAACTTTAAACCTCTTTTTGTCGGTTCGATCCCGATGTAGCTTGGTTCCTTTCTGTTTAACTCCGTCCAATTGCAAGGAAAAATATTCATAATTTTCTTCAAAAATAAATATTTTATTGAGGGAAATTTGGCAACTCTCGAATGTTCATACGGCGTTCTTCCTGAGCACGGGAGTGTGGAAGTGGAAGTGGAGGAGATGGAATACCAACAAACTGTGCGAGCATACGAACAGCTGATTTTGAGTGGTTCCCGCCGACACTGCCACTGCCACTGCAGCTGAGCCGGAGCGGGAGTCTGAGCGCGGGCTATGAGCCATAACCATGTGAGCCATTGTGCCCCTCGGCCCCACCCTGCACTGTGCCCATGCTCCAGGCTCACCTCAGCCCTCCGAACCAGTCCGGATCCTCTCCAGACTAAAAGCCCGGCTCCTGTCCTGATTTTTCAATCTGGTTCCCGACTGGCCCCAGACTCCACCAATCTGGAAAAAAAACTACTCGCCTCTACTCCAGTTCTATACTTTGGGGTCGAGTTCGAGTCAAAGCCCAGAATTTTTTCTTTCTTTAATTTATTCATTTATTTTTGATTATACATTTTTGGAATTTTGGATCTTTGCTGGGATTTTCAATGTTAGTTCAGTTTATAACAGGCTTAGCACCACCCCTTAGGCTTCTTTCTAGGGTGGCCCCTTCAACATTTAGAGGGCTCTCAAAGTCGTCTTCTTTGACCCATTCGCAAAATTTTATTAATTAAGTCTCTACCTCAATTTGTTCGGAAATCACACGAGAGATGCTTTGTGGTGCGAGACTTTTGGAAAAGTATTTTTAAATCAATTAAGGTAAATATACACATAAAAGCTGCTGAAAAGAACCTAAGAGACTGGAAATGCTCCTCGTGCAACTTCAGTTACATAATAATACTCCCCAACCCCCTCCGTAATCTCCCCTTCCTCCCCTGATGACCCACCCCTTCCACCCTGGCAAATACTGAACATTCAGGAGCCCCTTTGCGGTAGATTTCGGATTCATTCGATTTACTATTTCGATCAATTTTTTAAAGAAAGAACAGGATAATAGACGCCAGAGTTACCGGATTCTCCGAATTTCATATTGGTGGGATTTTTAACACAAGAAACGATTATCTCTTCGTCGCTTCATTCGGAAGAAATACTGATATTGCTTCCGACCTAATGAACGAAGTGGGCATGAAGGTACTTCACAATTTCCTACGCAACTATTTGTTGCGATTCCAAAATAAAATGTTGCCGATCATATAAAAGTGAATGGGTTATTTCGGTCAAGGCGGAAGCAAATAATACCCTATTTGCGGGCTTCCTGAAAACGCCCATGGAGAAAAAAGGGACGAGGCGCGAAAGACGACAAAATATCATAACCTACACTGCTATAAAGAGCGGAGACCTTTATTTTAGAACTTTCGGAGGTCTGGGAGGGTTGGGACGGCCTTGACTCACGTCTGAGCGCCGCGCCACTCCACCGGAGTCAAGGGCTCGATATTATCCAAATTCACGTGGCGAGGCCCCGGCCCTGGTCGCAGACAGCTGCCGTTTTTACTCATTTATACGTGGGGGTGTTTCCTTTCAATACCCTTTTATTTCGGCTGCGAATCTCGTTTTATAAGGCTCTAAGATGCGACCGTTATACAATTCTTGACCGGAGATCCCTGGTATTGTTGCGGCTATGGGCCGTTTGACATCTTTGCAAAAAAGTCCAAACGCCTGCAACATTTTTTTCTCAGTATTGCACAGTGAATCGAGTTAATGGGAGAGATCGAACAAAATTTGGAAACTTTAAAAGCTCATAATTCTGTTTACACAAAATGTTGAGGTTTTAAAAGTGGTTCCATAGGGATTCTCGTGAAATTTTCTTTCAGAAGCACCCCTTGATATTTAAAATTTGCATCAAAATTTGCATTATAAGTCAAAAGTTTCAGGTCGGACCTCTCTAATTGACTCGAACCACTGTGCGTCGTATTGTTATATGTTTTTTTATACGGATCCGCTCCAGGAAAATGGTTCTTATCACACCGAAGAAGAAACTTAAGTTGCACAACCGGAGCCTTAATTTTCATGGATCGGAGCGGTTTTATTGTGAAAAAGACGGAGTTTCAATGCAGATAACGAAATTCTGTGACACCAATGAGTCTCAGCATGGCTGTAGCAAAAACTGTGAATAAGTACTTGGATCGAAATTTGATTCCTGTGACTAAGAACATCAGTTACTTCAAACCGGTAAGTTGAGTCAGGTACCTGAACTGAATCTGAGATGAAATGGGTATAAGAACTTAAGTTTTTCTAACTCGCGCGTCAGTTGCTCGGATAAAAATTGAAAATACCTGTAATAATCATCATATACCTCACAGGTGATTAGCAGTTATTACTGGCAATTTGCATGCCACTAGTAAATGAATAGAAAATCACCAAAGTTAGAAATAATGAAACAAGAATAAAGCACTGTTTATTTTTGCCTTTGGTGTGAATTGTCATTTTTCCTCCGTGCAATAATCACAGTAACAGGGAAATTCAGGGAAGCGTAAAGTGAAATCCGTGACCTTAGTAGGGTTTAGATCAGACAGGCAACTAAACTAACTCCAAAACAAAGCGTGGAGTATCACAAAATATGAAGGCGCTCCGAGCCCACATTATGCTTTTGAACACCCATCAAACATTCCTCATGATAATGCGGATAATTGCGATTTATTGAAACATGTGATCCGATTGCAAATTACCAGCGATTGCCAACTGCCTGTGACATGAATACCATATGAAGGTATGTCACCGAACAGGCAAAAATTCATGATGCTCAAAATTCGTTCGCAAAGACCGGAGAAAGAAACCTCATAAACACCTCAACTTCTCTATGGAAAAAACATATTCAATCCTGGGAACCGAACTTCGTATGCTCAATAGCGACCTATAACCGTTCAGTTTGTAAATCAAACTTTTAGTTAGTGTAAACGTTCGATTCGTGAAACCAATATTCTTACTTCAGCTCGGTTACAAGAGCCAAAAATTCAGTTGGACCAGCCGATTGGTTCATTTGGAGAGTTTCCGTTCACATGTCCGAACTTTTTCTCAAGGTTCAACGACACAGGAATCGAAGACAATAACCACATCCACGATCTCGAAAGTGAGGGCGAAAGAAGTTAAAATATATTTCCAAAACATCCTTGATTAAAGACAGCCGAAAGTAAACAAAACCGGGGCGAATGGGTAGGGGTGCGCGAAGGAAAGTCAGCGGAAGATACGAGATGGGACCAGTGGTGAGAAGGGAGCGCAGCCCGGTTGCCAACCACCGCACCCCGAGCACGAAAACACACCCCGCAGACAAAAAATTCATAAATTTTCGCTCGACGATCTGGCAACCCGGCGCGCAGAGCGAGAAGAGGGATTTCAGAGGGATGAAACGAGGGGTTGGCGCAAGGACCCGAGTTGCAAGATCGGTCGACAGTTTTGTACCGGGCAAGGTGTAAAGTCCTCAGCAACCCTTTCAACCCTAAGGACGCGGGCCCTGGCACTTGGAGTCTTGCTGAGTGCATTTTTTCAGTACGACAGTATGGGGGTGGGTTTTTGTCCATCTACGGAACGGAATAATTTTTGGAGCGATCTGATGGTTGCGCGGTGGTGAAGGGTGGGAATTACCCTTGCGCCAGAACTTACGCAATACTTCGTTGCTGGCTCCTGCGTGCTACTGTTCGCTGCAAATTAAGCACAAAGGCCTGGACCCGTAGTATGAAAAAAACAAAGCGTACTTCTATCAGCTTCAGAGCTTTTTCTACGCCACAAATAATTGGGAAGCACTTAGGTCTCTAGTTTCCGATGTATTTCTGGCCTCGTTTCGCAGTATAGTATTCTTTAAACTATGAATAAGAGCCGATTGGACGTATTTGAGGACCTTTCCGACCAAACAGCATATTCCCATGTCAACGTTGCTAAGATTGTGCATACGCTCAACCGTTTAGTTGGTGGACAGCTGTAAGCTCTGTCCTGAAATTAGGCTCAAATTTTATTTTTATCATCCTGAATATTTTGGCAAAGAAATTCACGATGTGGGTGATTTAGGATCGTTGTGCAAAAGGAAGAAATGCACAATCTTAGCGGCGTTGACATGGGTCGTTATATTATGCTGTTGGTCGGAAAGGTCCTCATTTATGCTAAAAAGAACTATGCACATGGGTTTTGCCTACAACATAGTTCCTTTTAGCATAAATTTGTTCGATTTACAATTTTAAGCATCTCGTTTGTTCATGCTGATTTTATTTTATCTAAATTTCTCCTTTGAATTTGCATGATGGTCTCCCTATCCCTAAATTCAAAATTTGATCTCAATTTAAAAAATCAAAGCGTTGAAATACAAGAATAACAAATACCTAACTAAACTATATTCAGGATATAAGCACAGTAAACCTTAACATTTCGAAAATTTGGAAATTTGGACGTTAATTCAGAGGCCGAAGCATTTCCCACTGCCTAATGCATCAATGATAAGTTTAAACTTTGATGACTATGAAAACTCATCAATCAATCTCATAACGCGTGCAGCTTCAAAAATAGGTTTCATTTTCTCGTTTAACCTAGTCTTCGAATACTATCCGACCGATTTTGGCTGCGTTTATCTTTTTAACGAAATTCATTGAACTGTATTCGAAAATTCTTTCCTCAGTTGACGCTGAAAAATTTCTCAAGAACATCACGCGCGAAGAGATCGACTTTGAGTCCAGGTAATGGACTAATTTTATTTTGACGGTTCAAACACTTGAATGTTAGAGAACGAATTAATGGAAAAAATAAATGGATTGATCACTTACCGGGTTGGATATTGCCTCTTGGTTTGGCCCCGAGAATTGCTAGGTTAACGTTGGCTTTCCTACCATCGATGATTGGGTTGGGGTCTTTGCACGCTCTTTCTGCCGCCGGCCGATCACCCATTATCACCTGGATAAAATGTCACATATATCGATTAGTTGACTGTAGAGATATAAAGAAAACACGCAAACTGACCAAGTGTCGCAGACAGGAACCATAGCTTTTCGAGCATATTTTGTGAGTGACATGACATATCTGCCATTCAATCCGCTAGCATAATAGCTCGTCGCTCCTTTGTCACGTATCTCTATTCCCACACGAGCCTCGAAGAGCATTGAGCTCTACGGAGAACAAGGCTCACGTGGAAATTGGGATACGCGCTTACGTCACAGGAGTAGCAAAATTGCTTTTTGAAACGTGTTGATGAACTTGGATCCTTTCTGCTAAACTTGGTTGGAGCACATAACTTCATGCAATAAAAGGTATATCATACCGTGAGGGAAAAAATGAACGTTTTGATTTCATAACGACGGGATACCGCGGCGATAATGTTGACTCTACATTGTAGAACTGCGATGCACCAAATTTTGCTGTTGCATTGAGGTTAGATTTTTAAGAATTCACGCCCTGTTTTATGAAATGCAGCTCTAATTGGGGACAGCGAATAATGGAGGGTATAAATGACCTAAATTTTAAAGGCGATTGGCTAAGAATCCTTGTTTTGGACTATTGCCTTTCACGATCAGCACCGGTCGGCGCGGGTGAAATAGTGCGGTCCTTCACATCGACGGTTTTGCAACCAATTGGACAGATTTGACCAGAGTCAGCCCAAATACATCTCATACTGACTTTTTTTTCACGTGTTATTCTGTCACAAGGCAACTAATTGAGTAAATGCCTCGAAACTTTCCGGGCAATTCCTCGTGATTATGGAAAACTAACTCACATTGTCAAATTAGAGTGGTCGCTAATTTATCTTGTAAAAAAAGTAAAACATGGCAGGCGATTCGGCAAAGATTACTGTAGATAAGTTGATTCAGATTAATGTGGTTGATAGTACCTAACTCATTCCTCTTCAAAGTCCTAGATTCAGTTAAGTGCTACTAAGGAACTTCAATTCTTGCCTCATTTTTTCACTAGATCAACAGTGTGCGTAAGAAACTTATACAATTCCTAACTTGGTTGTAGTTTTAAATACGTGGGACATTCTTATTTTACATGGATTCTGAAGTATTTACTAATTCAGTTATCCTTGATAAACCTTGTTTTAATTACTGCACTCGCTTATCACTGATAATATATGTGACATCTTTTCAGACTAGGTTAGTCATTCTTTCCTAGACGGGAGAAAAGATGACAGAGGTTTCTAGTTGCGTAAGCCACCCTAATGCTTCTTTATAAAGGATAAAATCAATTGAAAAGGAATTTATTACCAGAACAACCACTCATAAGAGTGGACTCTTTAGAGTGACCCCATGAATGATAAGGATAGAACCTTGATGCCTGCCAAAAAGAGGACACTTTAAAAGAGATACGAGCAACCAGTTCTGATTTAAATACTTGAAAACGAATAAGGGAAAAAGAAGAAGAAAAAGCCCTGATAAGGAAAGTCAGTTGCTCGGTGCTCTTCCTTGGTCTTTTTATGAGAATTTAAGCTGTTAAGATAATTTTCGGGGAGGATGGATAAGAGATACCAGGACGCTCCGAGTAAAAGAAATAGACCGAAACGAAAGAGTGCGGGAGTATAGCACAGCGTTGCCAAGCGGTTAGTGAAGTATGTGGCAGCTTGCTCATACAACAGTTGTTACATATTGATACTAAATCATTCCCATCGCTTTTTCGACTAAGAACAATTAGAAAATATTGATATAGTCTCAATCAATCAATTTTCTTACATTGTTACCGAAAGAAGCTGAGCTTAAAAAAGAGGGGAAACTTTCATTCTTGTACACCCACAGTGGAAAAAAAACACATTGGATCTAGAGTCCAGACTCTTAAAAACATCGACAAGAAAAAATAATCTTGATTCAATCGGACTTAAGCTTAAATCAAGAACCCAGCCTCTTCATTTGAGCGGATTTCCTTTTGATTCAAGCTTAAATCTGATTGAATTAAGAGTATTTTTTCTTGTCGATGTTTTTAAGAGTCTGGACTCTAGATCCAATGTTTTTTTTTTCCAGTGCACGTCACACTCACATGGTTTAGGTCGCGGTGAAGATTCTGAGACGAAACGGGACAAAAAAGACATTCCTGTGAATGGATTGACTTTTCATGAGCTTTACCAACATGACCGGATTTACCTACTTGCCGCCCATGGGCCGCCTGTATTTTGCCGCCCTCTTCTCATTCATTTTGAAACATCAATAAAAACCATCAAGTGAACGTGCCGGGGGAAGAAGGGTGCACAAGACGCGTTCACTCGTGTTGGACACATGTTTTGCGTAAGCCCTGTCAACACTACTAGCAAAAGTTCACGGAACTTCGCGCGAAAGTTCAGTTCCGTAAACCTACCTCTGTGGGGACAAGACCTTCCATTTGTAAGAAATGAACTAAAAAATTAAGAAAGAACAAACATAAATGTGGTTTAATAATTTTAACTTCCACCGCTGTGCCACGCTGACCACACTGTGTTTGGAGCAATGCGTGAAGTATTCATGTAGTCTTGTAGGCACTGTGCGTTTCACGCCGCGCCGACCGCTGTTGACCGTACTCAGTTTGACGCAAAGTGTGAAGTATTCATGCAGTCTCGTAGGCGCTAATATGTGTTACATGCTTACCGCCGCGTCGAGGACTTCTCCTTTTCATCTTAAATCCTCGTCATCATTTCTCTGTGCGGCGCGCCGCTCCAGGCCAAATTATGTGTTTGGTTTCTCTCTTAACTCAACTAATTAAAGGTGCGCAGTCTTTTGTATCACCGAAATACGACGAAATTAGATATTGATGAACTCTCAGGAAATGAGAGATTTTGTCACTTTTTATTGTTTGTAATTTTTTTCTGAATCCGATTTTTTTGTACCTGCATTTAAAAAAAATTGCAAAATTTGCCGCCCCCTTACTTTGCCGCCATGAGCGGCCAACCCCTCAATCCAGCCCTGTTTACCAATGGATTTGATACTGCAGTGGTTATTGCGAGATTTTTAGCCAAATAACCAAAGGGCTATGTTTTTTTTTTTTTTTTTTTTTTTTTTTTTTTTGTCAAAAAGTTGAAAGAGGGTCATGCTGCCCGTTACTTATGGTTTGTTATCTAAGTCACAGACAACGAATTCTACGAGTGCCGATAGTTTCTAGGTATTTGCATGTTTATCTTGAAACAATAGGGCTGTTCGCATTTTAAAATCAGACGTCCGCCGGACGATGCGTTTCTGGATTGTATAAATATGCAGAGAGATAGGGAAGACCCTAAGTGGAAAAATGAAAGTTAGAGGGAAAAAATAACCTGAGAATAATGATGAGTGGTATCCACAAAAATTTAAAGTGGTTTCAGCGCTGTTATTTTTAGAGTTACCCATTGCCAAAGAGAGACAGAAATACTTCAACACGGCAGAAAAATCCATATTAATACCTACATTTGTTTCTGTCTGTTTAAATCATCATGGGAACCTAAAACCTGAATGCATGCTTTTGGTCCCTCGACAATGAAAACCAATATTTAATTATGAAATTCAAGAATTATTCAAATTGTGCTGTCGTGCTAAGGTGCGAGGCAACATTCATCAGGTCAACATTTTCGACTGAAATAAATTTTGCAATATGAAACTGCCATTTCTAGCTCATCCTTAAAAGCTCTTATCTGCACGGGGCAACTAATGGCACTTACGTTGTTTCTAACATGAGCCAGAAATCTACTTCCTACTGCAAAAAGTAGTCCAATTGTGCAGCAGTTTAGGTCAGACGATAATGGGCTTAATTTTGCAATGAGGAACCAATATTCCTGGCTCATCCGTACAAACCCTTTATGCACGAGGAAACGAATGGCACGTTTGTTGTTGCTAAAAAGAGCCAGAAATAGTACTTCCTTACTGCAAAATGTTAGTTGAGGTACGATGACAAAGGACTTCTTGCAATGAGGAGCTAATATTTCTGGCTCATCCATAAAAACCCTATCTGCACGAGGAAACGAATGACACGTTTGTTGTTTCTAAAAAGAGTCAGAAATAGCAGTTCCAAATCAAAAAATATAGTCCATAAGATCTCGTCCCATTTTACGGCGAATATCATGACGTAAGAACGTATCCGTAACCGCGTCCGATTATTTCGACAGGATCGCCCATTATTACAAAATCTCGCGATGAAAAAGCTCCGCGGGCCGGAATAAAAGGACCCCGCGGTAAGGGTCGTTGTCGGGTCCTCGGCCTGGGGACAAGGATCCCCGAGGGCGAAACCGGTGAGTGCAACGGGATTGCATCCGCCCTTAACCCCTTGCGCCCCACCCTCCTGCACTCGTGACCCCTCCACATGTTCTCAGCGCTCATAAGCGTGTGTCTGACAGCCTCGTTGCCAAATCGCACCCGAGTACGAAGGGCTCGTTCACGACGAGTTTTTTTCCTCGTGGAAATCTGGCATCTTACCGCGCCGGTCTCCCCTTGTTTTGTAATTAATTATTCGTTCAAAACGCATGCACTATGATCGAGCAGACCAGCGGGGCTGAAACCTTCGAAACCCCGAGCAGAATATTATGCCGTGCGAAGGAAAAACACCGCATGAACACTCGAATGTTGCCAAATTTCTCCCTGGTAAATACTAAGTTTTTTGAAAGACCGATGAATATTTCTCCTCGAAATTTTACAATGTTTTAGATCAAAATGCGAACCATAAACTTTCGAAAATTGGAGGGAAAATATTCAAAGGTTCCCCGGAAAATGTTTATTTTAGGAACTTAAATTTGGCAACGTCTGAGGACTCATACGGTGTTCTTCCTGATCACGGCAGAATAATTGACGCGCGTGCGTTTTGCCGACGTCACGAGAGAAAAAAAAACAATAGAAATTTTGGGATGACAAAAAAATGCCCCCAAATCAGACCTGCTTTTGTTGAGCACAGTAGAAATCATCAAGATGGAAAAAACCGGGAGAGGATCTCATAGCATCGACGTTTTTTGGTTGAGAGAATGATATTTATACACGTAGACAGGCTATCTCTCTCATCGAAGCGCACTCTCTTTACTTTAAGCAGTACGCCGGAAAACGCATATTGATTTATAACCCTCGCGGACGTGCAAGGAAGGGACGTTTGACAGCTTATTTTCACGCTAAGTTGCGAGGATGGAACTTATCATTTTAGCCATAACTTTCATCTAGCTTTAGTTTCGACTCTCTTTTCGTTGTTATGGTTTCGTTTATTAGGAATACCGAATGTGGTACACCTGTATTGAAAGGAATGAAAATGGTATGAAAAAGAACGGAGTCGAAAGATTTTTCTCTTCACAAGGCGTAGCCCGCGTAGCTATTATGATCATTGCTCATACTACAATTTAGCACCAACGCGTATCTTCAATTTATGAGAGGAATGAACCTTGTAGTGTCATTTTTTTTACGATCAGCGACGAAGTCGTGGTTTCCGTCGTCTCCCGGACGAAAGAACGTAACTTAATTCCAAGGTTGCAAAATTGACTCAAACAATTTAATTTTTTACATGGATGTACTTGATCAATTTGTGTCCGAAATTTTTCCGATTTGAGAGTAATATGAGAAGAAAAATCAGTAAAATTCTCAGTTGGAAATGCTCAAGATTCTCAAGGCAGTAATGCAATTCGCGAGGAGAAATTCAGAAACGCTGAAATGTATAGTTACGTTTAATCGTGAAGGAATCATCGTTATGCGACTTACTCGAGGTGACTAAATGAATGAGCGGTTAAACTGCCAAGGAGGGAAAACAAAAGAAAATCAATTGAAATTTCTGGTACACGTTGTAATTTAAATTGATAGTCGGGCGAATGAGTTAAAAAGCTCGAACCGTGTAACGCGAACATCCGAACATCAAGGCTATTGTCGTTTCACACCGTGTGCGTTACCTCGAGTGTTGCGTCAGATGGCGCACGAGGCCGATGTGACTGTACTTGGGGTTTTTTATTGATTTTTCCCTCCTGTTTGAACCACGTTTTTTAACAAAGTATGCCTGAAAGATTTTAAAACTTGGAGTATTACATGACGGAGAGTATGACTTTTCATTCTTATATTTTAGCTTTCGACTCTTTTATCACGCTTATTCAACAAACTCAGTGCACTCATGAGGGAATTCACAACTTTTAAGCGGAACTTCTGGTGTGTCTTTTTAAACCAGTAGCTTGAATCAACAAGTTAACGTTGAGGAATATAATTTCTGTGTTTTGAGGAACATTGATGACGGAGAGGTATCGATAAGGACCATTTTTTGGGCCACCTCGGTAGAATCTCCTCAACTTGACGATTTTTCTTTTCTTATGAGGCTCTTTATTTAACGAAATGCATCATGATTTGGTCATTTTTAGTATCTTTCAGGGTCTAATTCTAGCCTAAGCATGGGTCTGAAAGTCGAATATGGCGAAAATGCGGATTATATGGTAACTGACCACAAACCTGCAAAACCCGCTTTTTTCGCCAAAATCGGCTCTACAACCCATGTTTAGGCCACTTGTTAGACTTGGAATGACCGAAAATGACCAAATCATAGGTAATAAATATCAGGGTGGGTCCCAAAATGGCCCTTATCGATACCCCTCCTTTATGAATGTTCCGCTAAATGTAGAAATTATGATCCTCAACATCACATTTTTTATTCACGCTTTTGGTTTATCAAGACACCGGTAGTTCCGCTTAAAAGTTGTGAATTCCCTCATGAGTGAAATAAGTTTTCTGAATAAGCGTGATAAAAGAGGAGAAAGCTAAAATATAAACATGGAAAGTCGAACTCTTCAATACGTAATACTTTTATGTTTTAAAATCATCGATCGAACTTATTCAGGTGCCGATAGCTGAATGGTTGATAAACTTCAACATCGCGCGGGCATGAGCAAACAAAGCCGAATACTTCGATCTGGTTTCCTTTATCCACTCTTCAACATATAAAGCTTTCGGGCTTTAACACATGAGCTTGTCATAAATGTAAGTAAAGATTGATAAATGATGCATGTAGGCACACAAATGGAACGTTCCAAGTCAATAGGTCTTGACGAAAGCAAAAACGTGTGATACAACTATTCTAACTCACTTGTGGCGCACATTGCATAATCATTGAGATGAAGGAAAACCCAATTTTTCACCCGCATTTGCAATAGTCTGTAAGAGTTTTGTACCAAAGTTGGTCGTAACCTTTGAGGTTGAAACAATATGAACATGAAATGAAGAACGTATGAAATGTATGAATGGGCGATAGGAATATTATTTCATGCCATGCTCTCACATCATTCCTTGTTTCCAAAGAAAAGAAAATGAAATTCTGTAGGTATAACATGTTCTACAGTCTTGGGAACACCTTTTCCGAAACGTCCCGGGACTGCCACGCAATATGGACGCATATGATATAAAAAAGTCACACACAGCCATGAAATATTTTTGAAACTACTTTACGTCAGTCTCACCTCCTACTATCACGATATCTCTAATCCAAGAACTCCATTGTTCGACTCGTATTGGCGGGATTTTTCCACGAAGTAAAATTCAGAAATTTCACTTATTTTTCGGAATTTTGCACATTTTAAACGGCAAATACTTTGTTGCAGATTAATTCTAAGAAATTTAGGTCGGTGACGTCAAAAATAGATGCTAAAACCGACCATTTTCATCTCAGTTTTCAACTTTGAAGTACAACTTTCCATTCGTGGCCACTTACATGATGTTAGGAAATCGAGTTCATAAACACTCCTATTTATTCGATAAGCCTTCATTTTTTCCTTGTATTTTTACTAGAAGATATATTGCATTAAATAGAATGATATGTTCAGTGCGTGAGGATCTACCAAAGTGCCATATCGGTCTTCCTGCAGGCGACAAAAGCCTGAAACTACCAATCTAGTTCATCCCAACGAAGTGGGTAGACGCGTCAACGCTCTTTTAAAACTATGATTTCCATATTGGTCATTAGAGCAAATCATTTGGTCATTTCATCAAAACGGAGCTGAGACACATTGAGTTCAAATGTTTGAGAAGATGTTCAAGCCGTCATTTTTATAAAAATTAAAGTAAAAGGCTGAGCTCAAAGCACATGGTTAAGATACTGACGACTTTTCGAGGGCGTTCAGCTTTTGGAAGCAGATGGTAAGATAATTGACAAACTCTTACGTAACTTCTTTCTTATAATGAGGTTTTTTTTTTACGTTTCAGCCATAGTGAATTCATACATTGGGTATCGAGGGTGTATTCTGTATTGGCTTCATACAAAAGTTTACCTACGCGGGTTGTAAACATAGTTGCATTCAGTTGCTGATTACAGTGCAGACCTTTCGCTCGAAGTGCGTGTTAAAAAAGGGCCATTTCGTCCCCCTTTTTTTCTGGCCAAGGCAGGGAGGGGAGGTCAGGGATTAGTTTCAAATGTGGCCTAAACAATATCATATGGTGAGACTATCTCAGCTCGAGTTCAAACCTCGTTTGGGCAATACAACATCGTTGCCAAGTTTACATTTTTTAGTATTAAAACTGAGAATATTTTGAAGTTCCTCGGTTGAAAAACCAACTTCAGTTCATCTCTCTTCATTTTTCGGGGTTCAAGAACATGAAAGAATGCGGAATTCTCCGTTCGGAAATTTTGAGTTTTATCTATACGGAAGAGACGCACGAATTACTCGGAACTGAAACGGCCGGCAGTAGGCGAAGTTGTCCAATTGTCCATGTTGTGACGTAATACGAAATGAGTCCGTAGCAAAATGTTATATCAGAGGGAGTTAACATACAGTGAAGCTCACGTGACGTAATTTACTCGAGCTAATCACAAGAAATTGTCGAGTCGGAAATACGTAGCATTTTATCGATCATTTTTAAACTTCATTGATATTCCTCGCTCATATCAAGTCCAAGCGTCCAGGTCCGACACACAAAAAAGCAGAAGCTCCCCCAAACCCAATAGACGGGGGACGCACACACGGGTGCTTCCATCATTTTGGTTTTTGGGCTTTTCTTTTCGTCAGCCCTAATAACTTGGAGAATATGTGCCTATCGACGCTCTTGTCTCTGAGCAGATAATGTAGAAGCTTGTAGGGTGCATTCGTCTTATAATTCTGTGCGACTTGATACAAGAAAAGATTACAGTTAAGCCGTTTGACAGTATATGCAGCCTTGTAACGTTGAGAAAATAACGCACGGATGTGCGGAAGTCGTTTATTTGCAATGCAATTTTTTTACAATAAAATTAGGCAGAAGTTTCTTGAAAAACGTCATATGTTTCAAGTAAAAAAGCTCATCTTTTGTCTGGTATGCATGAAGCGGTAAAAACACCAGCGGACTGACCATTGAAATTGAGAGACAAAGCGATGGACAAATACGGCGTAGGGAATAAAAAGCGATCCTATTGGTTGAAATGGGTGGTTCTTATGGACTGTAAGGTAGAAAATGATGGACTTATTATGGGGTTTCTCGTGGGTTGCCATTAGTTGGTCTATTACCAGCCTCCTTTGTTCATTGCAACCACCCGCTTCCACCAATAGGATCCCTTCAAATCCCTTTCCTCCTCTTTTTGTCTATAGCTTCGTCTACCAATTTCAATAATCGGCCCGCTGAGTGAGTCGCGAGCAATTTTGAGTGATGACTCGTGGTAAAACTGAAGCGTATAAGCCTCATCGAAGCCTGAACGGAGGCACGCTTGATTATTTTAAGACAATTTTCCGGGAAAAAATGAAATCATTGCTATACTTACAAATCCATATCCTCGACTTTTGCCGGTTTGTCTATCTGTGATGACAACTGCTTCTTCGATATCCCCGAAAACGGAGAAATGTTCCCTGAGCGATTTGTCTGTGGTGTGGTAAGGCAATCCGCCGACGAAGAGTTTAGTCCATGTGGTATCCTTCTGGCTGGAGGTGGCCGTAGGGGCGGTCAGAGAGGCCAGGCTCCCGACCAACCCCTCCGCTGATCCTAACACACTGTCCGTAGTGCTCAAAGCACCAGGCATCAGCATTGTGGTCGCAATCTTGGAAGATTTAATTTAACCCTGCTCCGAAGAAAAACCGAACGAGCGGGGTAGAATTACGAGAATTCTACTGAGGAATCAACTTGAGGAGGAGTTAGAGCTCTCCGGTGACAGGTGACACCATGAGGAAAACTTAGCTGTGCGAGACGAAGACGCGAAGAAGCGCGGTTAAGGAAACACGTGTTCTATCCGACGATAGGCGCTGGGATCACCTGCATGGGAATCCGAATCAATGTACGCGCACGATCCGTTGAGCAGGCACAACACACGAATTTGACTAGTATCCACTTCGTCGAGCGAGCGACTGAAATTCTAAATCCTAAAAAATATGCGAAAACAAAACAAGTAACAAAAAAACTCAGGAGACGCGCGACCGTGTCATTCCCGTTCAATGCTCAATACGCGACTGCAAATGTCACATAGGAACAGGATAGGAGAGGTTGGCTCCCTCTGTTACAGTCTATATTTAGGGTAAGCCCGAACCCCTCTCTCCTCTCCTGCTTTTCCGTGCTCGACGCAATGTGCAGCTGTTCCTAATAGGCCTCTATCTCGTCCCTTCTCCCGTTCCCCCTCCGCCCCGCGACCCGCTCCCCGCGTGTGCCACCGCGGGCCCGAGGGGGCGGGGGGAGGGGGTGCGGCGCGGCGCAGCGCGTTCTGCTCCCGGGCGCTCTGCGTTCGTGAAGCCTCCCCCTTGCGCAGAGTTCGGCCTCCGAGGTTCGCCAGCTCGCTCTTTACGACTCTCTGGTCTCTTGTACTCTTTTTTTTCACCCCTGCAGCCTTCATCCCCTCCCGAGTTTTCATTCACATCCCCTCGTCGACTTTTTTCAGGTGCTGAGAGATTGTCAGATCCGTCATTTCCATTGCCATCGAGGACTCTAATTTCATTCCTTTTCTTTTTCACGCAATCATCGCTCCTCTTCTTAATTTCTCCTCTTTGCATCGAATGTTTATTTTCACCCTCACAAAAAAACAAAACGAAAAAACTTTAGTTTTGAAGCTCATGGAAAAATCCTTTGTTCTCGATAAATACTTCTTCCCTCCTACCACCGTGTACGTACATGTCCATATAGTTTCCAGTTGTAGTCCCCCTTGTCTATTTCTCTTGTTTACCCCCACACTTTCCTGGGTAATTTTTCTTACATGTCACATCAAACTTTGTCCTTTTATTAACTCTTGACATCTTTAAGTCCGTAAGGCTTCCTGCTGAGGTTAATATAATGCCAAAAATTTGGTTAAACCTTGGGTTTTGCTGGATTCTTCCAGGCCAGACGAATGAAAGTGACTGCACTTCAAAGTCGCGAAATGTCTATTCACCAATTGTGTTTTTACCAAGAAAAATTTGGGAGTGCCTGACTGAAAATTGCACTGATTTTCCTTCGGATTAAACGCAAAAACCATCTGGCACTTTGCGACTCCTAACCGCCACGGTACCGGGTACCGGTACCCTGTCCTTCCACAACTCAGCGGGGAGCTAGTGCTCCCTCATTTCATTTGAGGCCCCTGTCACCACCCTTTAAGAACGATCATCCCCATACTGTCTCGTAAAAAATGCGTCAGTGTTGCAACAATGGCGTCAAGTTCATTTCTCCGAGAAACGACGGAATCAGCTTTGAGGTTAAGCTAAAAATTATGACAGAGCGGCCTATTATTGCATCAAAACTCAACGGCTCACTAAAGCCCCCGGATTTTCTAAGAGGAGACAGCTTTTTGGCAGGGTCTTTACATTCTTACAAAGTGGGTGCTTTTGTACTTGCATTTCCTTTGTGGAAACCACTTGATCTGCCGGTGTTGAGAGGAAAAGTGGATCACATTTTCCAATAGGGAACTGCTATTTCTGGCTCATTATAGAAACAATATATACGCCGTTAGTTCCCCTGTGCAGGCAAGTGCTTTTATGAATGAGCCAAATATCGTAATTCCTTATTGCAAAATACAGTCCAATTAATTTTCGTAAATACGTTTCGAGGCGCCAAATTGGCCTGGGGGACGCGCGGTTAAACTGCACGGTTCCGTCACGAATGAGAGACAATTTACCTCAATAAGCAGTAAATTCAACTAAAATGATTTTAATAGTGACCGGCACGTTGCAGACCGTCCCATGACTCTCTCAGTCGGAGTGCACATGCATGATCCGTCTGGCCTCGCGCTGTACTGCCGTGCTGAGGAAAAACGCCGTATAAACCTCCAGGCGTTGCCAAATTTCCCTCGACAAAACACGCATTTCCTGGTAAACTTATGAATGATTTCTTTCCAATTTTTCAGATGATTTTGATCGCAATTTCACCTGAAGTTCCTGAAAATTTCAAGGAAAAATATTCATAGCTTTCCTCAAAAATGATCATTTTATTGAGGGAAATTTGGCAACTCTCGAATGTGCATACGGCGTTCTTCCTTAGCACGGCGGTGTACTTATTATGACCATTCCCTAAAAATATCCTGGCTCTTCGAAGCTCTAGGGACATTCATCCTGCTCAGGCTGGATATATTTTTAGCCTTCCTGATGTAGGTCTTGTTGGCCGAAGAGCCCGTTTATTCTTAACACATGGAGTTTAAATGCCAAAGCAAGCAATTATTAATGAATAGATGGAGTGGCCATTAGCCGGTAATTGGGTCGTCGTTACCGTCATAGATTTTTATTAAAACAATCATCCTCTGCTTGGTAGGTATACTTTCTTAGCAGTGACGTGGCGTGCTTTGCGATACATCGATTTATCTATCATTTAAATCCATGGAATAGGATCGATGGAGAGGGTGATCGCAGCGACCTTAATAATCGATTCTTTACCATAGATACAAATGGAGAAATATCGATAATCGATCATTTATGCCACGCTACTGTTCCTCGGATTGAGGCCATAGGCTGGAGAGTATATTTAATCTTGAGATGGTCCGCTTTACAGTTGTGAATTTAAAATGTGTAGTGAATTTATTTGTATGGAATAATAATTTGTAGATAGTTTTCATACCAGGAAGGAAAGGACTTACTCAAGTATCGGTTCCCTTCTCGAGGGTATGCTAAATGCATATATTTAATTTCATTTATAATAGCGAAAATCGTGTGACTGAAGTGTCACGGATCTAGATACTTCGCTATAACTTATGATTCTTTAAAAAAAAAAAAAAAAAAAAAAAAAAAAAAAGCACTAAGAAGTGGCCCGCACTGTATGTAACAAGGTGGAGATACAATTTTGTGGGCTCAGCACCATTTCTCCACATTATAATTTAAATAAATGATCACTCAATTGACAGTGTAACCTAACCTCCATACGATCAAAAAGCACACCACTAACACATTTCACTAAGCTGACGGGATTCTAACAAAAGTTATCGTGTCTACAAAATATTCCCGACAGAGACTTGTCTGACTATTATATGGAGGATGATACCACTATTCGACCACTTGGGTGCTCGTATTGACTACACTAGATATTGAAGGCGAACTGACTTGACGTTAATAAAATCTTTTCACATTTTGTAAACAGCCAGCTCTCTGTCTGTTTTCCGAGTGGGTATGCAATTCCGCGATGATACCACTGCACCTCTGTCTGATTTCTTCTTTTTTTCTTCTCCTCTTTCTCATTTTCTTTCTCTTCATCATTTCTGCTTTCTTTTCTATTCTTGTTACTATCCTAACACTAATACCTTGGTATGGAGTTGTTTTCCAGACTTCAAGGTATGTGATTAATTTTCCTTGTAAAATCTCGGAGAGAAAACTGCACAGTGCAATTGGATTACATTTTGCAAAAAGGAACCACAATCTTTGGCTCTTCCCGGCTGTCTCTAAAATGAGCCAAAAATATCGGTTACTTATGGCAAAATAAGGTCCAAATTACATTTTGTCTGGAGAGGGAGACCAATCACCTGAGTCTCATTAGTGAAAAACAAACATAAAAAATAAATAAATATGAGGGTGAAACAGATTGTCAGATAAAATGAAAGGATATATGGAATATTTTTAGGAATGCATAGCAGGTGAAATGGGCCGGCTTCCAGGTAAAATGGGCCTCTTTCCAGGTGAGAGGTTAACGGCCGAAAAGTTTTAAGGGGTCACACGGCTGTTTATCATCACGGCTCTGTGGACGTCGCGTCGCGTCGCGACGACGACGCGACACGATGACAACGAGACGAGACACACTGCTTCGCCGCGACGCAACGGACGCCTCTGAAAGGTTGGCAAACGTGCGAATAATTTCGCCCAAGGTGTTAGTTCGCATTTTATCAGTACTCAGGATTTTAGCCGACGACCTCCTCGAAGCGTCCACGCCATCACCTGTTTGCAAGAGCAAAAAATATTAAATCTACCTTTACTCCAGCTTCAGAACACCGTATAAATCGTCGTTTTCCGCACAAAGGATCGTAACTCCACTCCAACTTACAGGCTTGCGATATGCATTGGTCAGAAATGGAAAAATTGTGTGTACCGAGGTAGGTCCGCACCAAGAAATTACGAATTTGCGAGGATTAAAGCGCGCACCGTAGTGTACGCGCAATGCGTGAAGTATTCCTGCAGTCTTGTAGGCGCTATCAAGCGTTAAGCGCGTAATGCTTGAAGTATTCCCTCAGTCTTGTAGGCGCTATTATGCGTTCCGCTCTGACCACACCTTGTTTGACGCGATGAGTTCCTCGCAGAGAACACCGTATAAATCGTCGTTTTCCGCACAAAGGAACGTAACTCCATTCCAATGTTGCAAAATTGACTCAAACAATACATTTTTTACAAGAGAGTACCTGTGCAATTTTTGTCCAAAATTTTACTGATTTTTGCAAGAGACCAGACGAAAAATCAGTGAAAAATGTCAACAAATTTCAAAAATTTCAGTTAGGAATCCCCAAGATTTTCCTTCTTATGATGCAATTTGCGAGGGGAAATTTTGCAACATTGCAATGTAGTTAGGTTCTTTCGCGAGGGAATAAAACGAAATGTCGTCTCAGGGGGGCCCCTTACTTGAGCTCGCCCTGGTAGTTTCACACTAAATTTCACGTGAAATTTCAAAGAAGTCTCTGAAACACCGCTACATTTCAAATTCTTATTTTTCATGAAATTTTCCATCTCAGCCCCTGATCCCAATAAAATGCTCTCCGCATCCACTCGTCTTTTCGTGACTTGAGATGACCCTGTATCGTAATTCAACACCAGCACACTCCCGCAAAAATCACTTGACTCTTTGGTCCTGTGGTGAAATCTATGATTTTGGTCGAACATTTGATAATCTGTGGGTTTCGGTCAGACAGGCAACTAAACTAACTGCGTGACGAAGCGTATAGTATCACAAGTACATGAAGGCGCACAAAGCCTAGAGCGTGCTCTTACAGGCCCTTACCCATGAAATCTGCTTCATGCCGATTCGAATCACTGCGATTTGCGGAGTTAACACGTAGGCCACTTGCATATTCCCGGTCATTAATTGCTCATTGCCTGTGACCTA